CCGCCACGTCCTCTTCAGCAGAGTTCTGAGCAATGTAGGCGTTACAAACGCCTCCAGTTGTCGAGAAATCGGTCAAGAAAACCTAAAGAAGCTCTTCGTCACTCAGCTTGCACAAGGCCCCACCTATGGTGGCGCAGGACGCCCCGGCCAGTGTGTAGCCCACCAAAAGGCAGGTGAAGTTCTCAGCAACACTTAGGATGAGGTACGCCTCACTGCCACAAGGCTTGCTGAAGGCTCTGATAAAAATTACTTTCGGAGGCAGATCTCGATACCAGGGCATGCCATCTCATGGCCAACACCCCAGCGAGCTCAATTACCCCCCACCCCCCTCCCCCCAAATTTTGCGAACGTGTACATCAAACTTTTGAGGGCCCGCAGGCACATTCCTCAGTTAAAACGAGGGTACTGTTCTCTCTGGCAACAATTTGCTGGAGTAGTCCGAGCTTCCAGGGACTCGGCGGCCAGAGCTGCTAGGAGTACCTCTTCGTGGGAGAGCATCTTTCTTGGCTACGGCGTGTAGCATGCTCTGCAAGCCCTGAGGACTAAACGCCCTAACCCCTAGCATTCTTCTTACTAGGTTACAGATTTATGATTGTTCTGGTTCTTATGATGGCTATTTTCGTATTCTGCCAGCGCAAACACCAACAGCGGTTGCCACTGTGGACTCGCGATTCGGCAAAGAACACGGCCCACGAGAGAATCTCATTCAAGGTACATTTTTGCGGCATTTCTGAAAAACACAACCTACTTGCGTGGCGCCAGAGCTGGTGCGGTCCTCTGTGGGTACTGTTAACCTATATAGGTGTGTATATGTATACATACACATATGTATTCCCCAAACAGTGTACGTTCAGAGTAAAGGGGTGTTCTCACGTTCTGAGTAAACGGGTGTTGGATTGAGTTGCGCGCGCCGCACCCGTAAACGCGTGATGCGCGGACGTTGTTCCTCGAGCGGTGGTCGCATTCTGGACGAGAGTCGCACCTTTATCGGGTTTAGGGTTTAGGTTGAAGACCTTGAAACTACATGCTTTGGGCTTCGTGCATGGCGTCGAATCGCATGCTCGCCTAGGTCCCGTGCACTTTTTGGAGTCCTGAAAAAGTGGCCGGCGCGCGGATTCCGCTATTGTGGGCCTTTTGGATGGGTTCGCTGCGTGCGGCCAGACTAAGGGGATTTGCTGTTCGCGATGTTGGAAATCGCGCTCACACCTAGGCCTGGGCGCCCTGGGCATCCGAAACTGTCGCCGCTTTTGGACGTCGAGGTTCGCCACACGCGAAACCGTCGTCGTGTTTCGGTTTGTGGAGGTCATGCGGAGTCTTGGTGGAAAGAAAGTAGACTTTTGCAGAAAAACGTAGTACGCCGAGGACGTCCAGAGCTTTGGTGTCCTTGAAGTCCAGCGGCATGCCAAGGACTTCCGATGTCCAGTGGCTCGAAAGTCGAGCTTGTAGTACAAACGTAGTAAGCGGAGGACGTCTGGAACACCTCTGGCCCCAAGTCGTGCTTTCGTGTCCCCATGAAGCGTAGTCCTGGTGAAGTGTTCTTGGTGAGCTCTTCAAGTGCCAGTTGAGGCATGTTCTTGAAGTGCCAATGCAATGTTGTCCGGAGGGCTCGGAGCGCTCTTGGTGTATGTTTGGAGGACTCTTGGAATGCTGTTGCATTCCCGCATGGTCTCTCACTGTTTAGGGTCTGCGCTGGCTATATCCGCCGACCCCAGCGGTAGCAGGGCGGCGTCAGTGAAGACCCCCCACCGCCCTCACCGCCCTCACCCGCTCTCACAGCATGCTGCTCATGACACCTTGAATTGGAGTGTTTTTGCATTGTTTGGCTTCAGTGCATGCCCAAACCCCGCCACCCATCGCCCTCACCCATGACGCCTTGAATTGGACCTTTGACCCCCCCCCACCCCATCCATTCAGGTGGTTTAAAGGGTCCAGTTTATTCCCGACCACACGCCCCCCCACACCCCCCCACCCCCCCCCCCCCCACACCCATCCCCCCCACCCTACGCTTCCCGCATTGCCCTTGCCCCCCTCTCACCGTACCCCCAAACAAATGACCAATCCCCACCTACTCCCCCCCCCCCCCCCACCGCCCCTCCCACCCCGACCCACCCCCCCACAAGCCCAACCCCCCCAGCCCCCCCACCCCCCCCCCGCCCCGCCCCCCCCCACCAACCCCCCCCCCACACACCCTCCTCAGGCCCTGACCAGGCTCCAAGTGACCGCCCTCCCGCTCTCACCGCCCTCAACCCCCCCCCCCCCCCCACCCCGCCCCCCCCCACCCCCCGCGCCGCTCCCACCCCCCCCCCACGCCTCCCCCACCCCCCCCAACCCCTCCCACCTTAACCCCCCCACCCCCCCCACCCACCCCGCCGCCCAACCCCCCCCCCCTCCCCACACCCCCCCCCCCACCCCCCCCCCCCCCCCCACCCCTCAACCCCCCATTCGCCTCGACTCTGAAACACCCCCCCACCCCCCCCATCCCTTCCCTCCTAGGCCCCTACCCCCTACTCCGCCCCTGACAAATCTCTAGTTTGAGGGATTCCAATCCACGCCCGCCCTAACCGCCTCCCCGCTCTCATCACTCCCCTGCCTTCCGCCCCCAACTCCACCAACCCTCGACCGTCACCTCCCCTGTCCACCCGCCGCGCTCCACCCTGCCTTCCGCCCCAACCCTCTCACCAGAGCTGGTCAAATGAGTCAGGCCCCCCTTTCCGCCAGCCGCCCCCACCCTCTCCCACTCCCACTCCCTAACCCTCCCACCAACCCTCCCCAGCCCTCATCATTACCCCCTCCCACCATCGTGCACCATCCGACCGCCCCCCCGCTCTCACCGCTCTCATCGCTTCTTCATCTCTATGCCCCCCAGTCCACCCCTGCCTTCCGCCCCCAACTCCCTAATCCGACACCAACCCTCTACCGTCACCCCACCGCCGCCCCCCTTTCCACCCCCACCCACCCCCACCCCCCCCGCCCCCGCCCCCCCCGCCTGCCCGCGCTCCACCCTGCCTTCCGCCCCAATGCGACTGTCTTGGGTCTGGGGTCGGCGGCACTGGCGGTAGCCATTAAATAAATATACACATATACATATACACATACACATACACATACACATACACATATACATGCATACATACATACATACATACATACATACATACATACATACATACATACATACATACATACATACATACATACATACATACATACATACATACACATACATACATACATACATACATACATACATACATACATACATACATACATACATACATACATACATACATACATACATACATACATACATACATTACATACATTACATACATTACATACATTACATACATTACATACATTACATACATTACATACATTACATACATTACATACATTACATACATTACATACATTACATACATAACATACATAACATACATAACATACATAACATACATAACATACATACATACATACATACATACATACATACATACATACATACATACATACACATACATACATACATACATACATACATACATCACATACATACATACATACATACATACATACATACATACATACATACATACATACATACATACATACATACATACATACATACATACATACATACATATACATATATATATATATATATGTACATCTACCTACCTCTATATTTACATGCATATATAATCATATATATAGATACACACATATATACATATGAGTGTGTATATATCTACATATGTACACTTATATTTCTACACTTTCCCCTGAACGCTGTACCTTGGCACCAAGATGCTGGTCGGCGCCCGAAGCGGTCTGAGAGGTACCCCAGGAAGGGCGTGTTCAGAGCCTGCGCCAAGGAGAACGCAGCCTCGGCCGATGAGGGCTCTAAAGGGTTTTGGTGGTTTTGAGGGTGTGCAAGAAGTACCAAAGCCCAGCTCTTAGCAAATCTGGCTGCGACCACGTTTTGGGGTGCGGGAGATTGCAACTCTGCCTCTGGAAGCTACTGCAGCCTTTTGCGCTTAGGGGCTTAGGGCATCTAGGTCACCACCGTGCTTCTGCCCAAGGGGCCAGGGCCGTCGCCATGTCATGGGCTTGCAGCGAAAACGTCTGGCAGAGGATTGGGACGAAGGGTGCGTACACGCCAAAGCCAAAGGCGTCCATGAACACCTGGCACAAGGCTCAACCTGCCACTTGTCGACTCACCAGTGCAAGCGGTCATACAACGTGCTTGTTCGAATTCAGCTGAGGTGCAACGGTGTAGCATACCAACAGCGACTGCGCTTTGACCTCCTCGCTTTCGTCCTCCTCTTCAGGTACTTCGGAATACCTCACGCGGTGCAACAAAGGGTGGAATCTAGCGTCTAGAGTCTAGAGTCTACATGGACCTGCTTGATGAGCTTCGGATGTCTTAAGATTCAGGACAGGGCGCGGAGCTGTAATGAATGGCTTTGCGCCACACAGGCACAGCAGCCCAAAGGTACAGCTTGATAGCAAAAACAACGCCGCGCTGGTCTTCGGCCCAAACATCGCTCCACCGCCCAACTCGCTTCGGAAGCCCTCGGAAAGGAGGGCTGGACTCCCGGAAGTGTCAGACTCCGTATGGAAGCCCTCCGAAACAAGCGAAGCATCCCCTTGACCGCGCGAGAGCTTTACATCCACTTGGAGTAGCAAGATGTCCTCCTGGAGGTCCAGGACTTCAGTTCCATGCTCTGGGAAGTCAATATCCTGGGACCTCGCCAAAAGTAGACAGCCGGTGAGGAACTGATACTGACAGTACCGCATCCTCAGGCTTCCTTCAAGCTTCGTTGAAAGGCCGGACGGCGCACATTCCAAAACTCACAAGTGGGGTTTCTATGCAAGGAAGGGTTCGATACCTTGTCAGCTGCGGCGAGTGCTGCTCGGAGAGCAAGAAGACAGTGCCGCAAGCAGAATGCACACGGAGAAGCACATGCAGCCAAGCAAAGCACCCGGAGCTGGGGCGCCTTCATCTGGCTCTGCAGGACCTCGAAGCACACTCGATGCATGGCGCGGATCCTCAAGGCCCCTTATGGCTTCAAAGCAGCCGAATCCTTCAAGAACCTAGGCCCTTCCAAGGACAGGATTAGGGTTTAGGGTTTAGGGTTTAGGGTTTAGGGTTTAGGGTTTAGGGTTTAGGGTTTAGGGTTGACTGTGCGCCTGTGAGAGAACTGGTTTCTCGCCCCCCCCCCAAGGCCCCGCACTAAAGGTCGGATCTCGGGGAGCCCAGGCCTCCCAGGCCTCTCACAGAGTTTAAAGGGGTTTAGGGTTTGGGGTTTAGGGTTTAGGGTTTAGGGTTTAGGGTTTAGGGTTTAGGGTTTAGGGTTTAGGGTTTAGGGTTTAGGGTTTAGGGGGTTTTGGGGCCACTGGCGAGCGCTTTCAGAGGGGTGCTTGATAGTGGTGCTTGAGTGCTTGCGTGCTCTGCATTTTTCCAAATCTTTTCTCGCCGCCACGGCTAAGGTCTGGAGTCAACCCTGCATAGCACACGCTTCTGCAAGGTCCTCAAGAGACGTTGGGCGCAAGGTCGTCCACAAGTGATGAGTTCCAGCTCCCGGACTACATGAACTCTTGCTCTTGACATCACTCCGTGGGCGGACCAAGCATTGCGAAAACTCATCAAGAAGCCGCCCATGCAAGCGCAGAGGCCTGATCGGGCAGTTTGTGGCTACGCATCCCCCATCTTCGCTCGACTCTCCTCTGCTCCCACTTGGTGAAGACACTTAGTTGCGTGCCTTGCGTTCAGCTCAGCCCTTGAGGGCGGCCAAGATGTCAGGCGCAAACCTCGGGGAAACCAGACGAACATAGACGAGCAGAAGACCGTTGCACTGCAGCAGCCCAGCTCAGCCCAGTGGCGAGTCATCACCCATGGTGATCTTGGTGATCTTGCCATCCTGGGGCGGACTCCCGAAGAGGAAGGGAGAGGCGACTATACGAGTCTAATTTGGGCTCCCCACATCAATGATCATGGCGTATCGCTGCGACCTGTGGGAATGGTGGGGAAGTTACGAAAGTACCGGACCCCCAAGCTAGATCCCGAAATGATGGGATCCCCCTTACAACAAGCCCCAAGAAGGTTACCCCCCCAACATTGCAAACCCCGATGTGGGAAGAGTTCGGAATCACTCGGCAAAGAGGAGTGTGGGTAAAGCTTACTGTTGGTTAGCTCAGGGAATGAAGGGAATTAGGGCCCCGACATATATATATATACCCTTCAAGGCATTATATAGGGTACCTCATTCCCTCACTTCCTGCTAACCAACAGTAAGAAAAGGAGTGTGGGTAAAGGTGGGCCTAACGTTCCCAAGCTTGGCAGTGGCATCCAACTCCATGTCCAGGGCCTGTTAGCGGATGACAAAGCTCGAAGGGAAGCAAAGGGTTGATCGTTTAGGGTTTAGGGTTTAGGGTTGAGGGTTTAGGGTTTAGGGTTTAGGGGTTTAGGGTTCGGCGAGCAAGCACACACGTCTGTTCCGTCCTTCGTCAGCTCGCACTTGGTGTCGGCCAGCATGGTAACCTTGCCCTCAGCCTGCTGGGAGCTTGAATCTCAAGCTTTCCCCGGCTTGTTTGTTCTTATTTGATCGGCGCCTTAGCATCACGGAGGCTACGTGCAGTCTCAGCTCTAGGAATGCCAACAGCGGCTCTCGAGCCGCTCGAAACCCGAAAACCTCAACACAGAAGCCTGAACCCTCCTGGTAGCACTTCAGATTCCTTCAAGCCCCCGCCCCCAACCAAAGAATGCTCAGTCGCCGCCTCCTGCTGCTTGCCCCAGGAGCTCATCACGAAGGGGTCGTTCACGGCCACGCAAGCAACGACCTGCAGAGGCAGGAGGCTTCGGGTTCCCAAAACTTCCCTAAGCCCTAAGGCCTTTTCCTTAAACCCTTTAAACCCTTTAAACCCTTTAAACCCTTTAAACCCTTGAAACCCTTTAAACCCTTTTGAAACCCTTTAAACCCTTTTAGAACCCTTTAAACCCTTTAACCCTTGAAACCCATTAAAACCCTTTAAACCCTTCAAACCCCGGGCAAGTTTCGCGGGCCTCGGCACCCGCCGCCTTCAGCTCTTCCGACTGCTCGATGTAGCCTGGCCTGGGCTCCAAGGCCTGTGCCCTCTCTTCCCACTTGCTGGCGCTTAGGAAGTTGGGAGCTCGAAAGAAATAGGTACCCTACAGAAGCCCTTCCTTAAAAGGGGTGATCCAGTAATATGAGCATAAGGGTCTCGAATGCCCTACTAAGTCTGACTAAGTTAAGGGGTGGGGGGCAGGATCTAGGGGCCAGCTTTCGAAAGCCTTCAAAGGCAACGAGCACGCCGAGGCTTGCACAGGTGCTTCTCGGAGCAAGTTGGCCTCAATGTCACACATAAACGTTCTGGGCAATTTAACCCTACACCCTAAAACCTAATGGAGCATACTTGTCTGGCAAACAAGCCAGGTGGGCGTGAAGGCGCCCGGGACCGCGAAGAGCACGCCCTTCTTGCCTGAGCTCCACGCTTCGGCCAAGCTACAAAAGTGGCGAAACTCTTCAAAGGAGCCTTTGAAGAGCTCGGCGACGTTGACAGTGTCCCCGGGCCTAGATTCCGAGGGCACAGGCCGGGAGGGCGGTTCGAATATTTTTTGAGCGGCCTCGGGGGTTCGGAGAGTTTAAGGTGTAGAGATGTGTTGAAATATACGATAAAGTAACATGCGATACAATGCATGCAAGTAGCTTGCTGACGTCCACTTCCACCGATGGAAGCGAGTCACCCTCGCTCACCTGCAGAATGACGAGGGTTCTGCCTCCGGCCAAATTCAAAGCCCCTTTTGCAGCCTTCCTCGCCACCACAACCTGGCACTGGGGTCCTGGACAGCGCAGAAGCCACAGGCATCCGAAAAGCGCTTTTTTCATCCCTGCCTGAGGAGATGTTCTTGCCGGTCATTCCCGTGAAGGCGGTGGATCCAAAGAGCGTCCTCCGCAAGGACGGCTGGATCGAAGGCCCTTCAACTCCCCGCAACGGCTTCCCCGCGCCTCACCAAAGCCAGAGCTCCCACGAGCAGCACTGCGCGGCCGAATGCACTGCGCCGGGCCATCCTCGACATCTGAAAGCTCCAAGGACGCAACCCCGACCCATCACGTCAAGTTTGCACAACGGAGCAAGCAGTCCCGATGCTCCTGGAGTGTGCTGAAGCAGGGGCTAAACTCCACACAAGCTAGGAGGCAAAGACTGCGGAGTGCAGCGCCATGCCAAGCCATGCAAGTGGTTGTAAGCTTGAAGCACGCTCCTCACATGCCTGGTTCTCTTGCCTGCAAACTCCACAGACACCGGGACCCGCCTGCCAGCTGTCCCGACTCCACTTCCAGGTGCCTCGATGGGCGGTGCTAAGCACTGCAAAGCACGTCGCGTCACAGCGAGCAACAATGCGACACTGAGCCGAGCGCCCCAGTGATCCCAGTCGCTCCAGGCCTGGTCACCCCAGTCGCCCCACTCCCAGCGCTTGGACCACCTGCCCAGGGCGTTTTGAACATTCTGGGGGATATGTAGGGATATATAGGGATGCATTTCGGACTTTTTGGGATTTTGGGCTCCGATAAGTTCAGGAGCAGGCCAGGAGGGCTCATTCGTCCAGTTGCTCTCGGGGCGTGTGTTCCTGAGCTGGAAAAAAGTTCTGGTAGCACCGGAACTCCACACTGCATTGACTATGTATACATATACATAGATATTTGTATTATGTATAGTAGCTTCAATGTTATAGTTCATGCTATAGGCATTGCAGGCAAAGTGCTCGTAGATCTTGCCAATGAGCTCCAACACTTCTCGTCGAGCCACAGGGCTCAGCCTCCACGGCTCTTCCGGAATTCCCGGCGAGCGAGCTGGCAAGGGGTCCTTTGCAGTTAACTGCAGCATCAAGATGCACACAGACACTCCTTGCTCCTTATAACTCGTGGCATGTGCTTTGGAAAAGTCCGTCTCGCCTCTTTGTTTCGGGCCACGCACTCTTGTGTAACGATTTTTCAGGGGATTAACTGCAGGGCTGCATTCTGAGGCTTTTCTTCCTTCTTCAGGCTCGAGCTTTGGCGGGCCTGAAGGCTTCTGGCCTTTCAGGGCCGTGACTTCAGCCCAGGGCAGGAAAGTTTCACGGAGTCATGGAGATCAGGGGGGTTTGAGGCCTCAAGCATGTCGCTCTGCTTAGCCACACCGCCCGCCTGGGTTTGTTTGGGGGTCGTTTGTAGGGTAGAGCGGAGCAAATTCGTGGAGGCCCTTACTTTAGTGAGTGCAACAGTAAGTTCAAGCATGTCATGAATCGCAGAAGCGCCAGTCCTGCAATGCCACCGTCTTGGCAACATAGTACTTGCGGTACGCCCCTTTCCAGTCCACACTTTTGGCTGCGTGGCCTTCAGCTCGCACACAGAGGAGGCCAACGAAAGCCTCGTGCGGAAGGTCTTCTTCCGCCGGGGCTGTAGGCCATTCGCCTTGAAGCTGGAGAGTCTCGGGACTGTCGGAATCCGGATGCTCTTTGGCGACATGAAGCGCATACCTGGGCTCACGCTACGAGGCCGCAACCCCAACCCGCTCCGCCCCCTCGCAAGCCCCCTTAATCATGCCTAAGATACCAACCATCAGGGAACTTTGCCCTGCGAAAGACATAGTTTCGCCGCCCGGCCAGGATGGCGAGGGCGAGCTGCGCACCTCTCACAGTGAGGCCATCCGTCGTCTCCTTGGGTGACCGCGCCGAAGCAGGCCGCCAGCCCAGGCCACTGACGCAGCCGGAGCAACTCCAGCGGCCGTCCAAGTCCTGGAAGCCTCCTCAGGTCCCAGCAAATGTGCAGAGACACCAAGTAGCTCAACCAGGTCGTGCTCAGAGGAAGACCGTGCGGCTCCGCCATGCGACGGCAGGCCTCTCATGCACATGCTGCCATCAGACAAACAGGGTCTACGTAAAAAATTTCACCGAGATTTTTCTGTCAGAGCTCATGCGTGCAGCCATCTGCCGTTCTTCTATCAGCATCAGCTCACGCAACCCCCCGGGATCTCTCAGCATCCCGAAGCGAACAAGTGCCTTGCACTCGCGAGGATGTGAACCGGCAGCTGGGTCTTGAAACTTGATCGTGGGAAATCGGCCTGCCAACCCTCATAGCATCATGGCGACGTGGCATCATGGCGAGATGGCGAGACCCACAACCGCAGACGCAGATGGCTCAAGAGGCTAGGGCCTGGCAAAGAGACCGGCAAGTCGACCTCCGTGTGGCCTGGCAGCCCGCTTGCTCAGGTGCATCCAAACACTCGGCTGCTCGAATGCTCGCAGCCTCGGGATCCCCAGACGTTGATGCTGATACTCGGGCCATCGCAGTCCACACAGGGCGGCACCTGCCGCTAGTTGCCGTTCTGTTATGGATTAACTCTGTGAGTGCTGCGGGTGACAGAAGTGCTGGTCAACTTCATGCCGCCGGCTGCCAGTTGTGACACATGACACTCGTGTGGAAAATCCCGAACTTCCCCCAGAACTTCGTTGAAAGAACCAAGGGGGCCGAGGCTCGCACCCCATGTCGCCAGCACCTATTGGTTGCCTCAGTGAGGTCACGCTCACACCTGTACATGTGTAAAGCGTAGGCATGCCCAGCTTCATACGGACAACATCAACTGGCTCGGCAGTAAGAGCGTGGTAGCGTACAACATGCATACCGCAAGCATGCACAGAGACGCCCATACACACATATACACTCACGCACACACACACACACACACACAAACACTTTGTATGTGTATATACATACAATAGATAGATGGATAAAGAGACAGAGATAGAGTTGCAGTAGAGACCGAGATAGAGAAAGCGAAAAGATAGAGACAGCGAAGACAACAGGCACATATACGGATGTAGGTATAAAGGTACAGATATAGCTATGCATACAAACATGGATAGAGATCTAGATATGGAAATAAAAGATACAGTAGGTATGACAATTAAAACACAGATAGGGAAAGAGATACAGACACGTACAGGTATGTACAAAGCTATAGATCTAGATATGCACATGTATAGACAGACAGACAGACAGACTGACAGACAGCCAGGCAGACAGACAAACAGACCCACACATAAACACATACATACATAGATATATGCATACATACATACATACATACATACATACATACATACATACATACATACATACATACATACATACATACATACATACATACATACATACATACATACATACACACATACACACATACACACATACACACATACATACATACTCATACTCACACACATGCATACACATGCACACACATCTATATATATATATACACACACGTACGCACACATAGGTATAAACAAATGCCTACACGTCTTTACACATATCTACACGTACTCCCACATATGCACATGCACTTACACATATATTCACACATTGACAACCTTGACACATGCTCACACATACTTACACCTGCTTCCCCCTGCCTACGCATGCTGACACATGGTTGTTTCCACACAGATTTACACGTAATCACGTACATTGTACACCCACGTCTGCACATACACCTACACCTACGCATGCATACAGGCATCCAATAATTGACGCACTCACACATTTCACACAATCATGCACGGAAGTGCATTCATAATTCAGGCATCTATACAAGCCTTTACTGCACTTCTGCATTCATTGTTCTCACGCATTCCTGCATTTCTACACTCGCTATGTGCATGCATACATCCTTGTATCCTATATCTGCATCTATCTGACTTCTAGTTGCACATGTATCTTGCGAGGGCACGGTGCCTCCCCGAAAGCGTGAACATCGCCATTTCGCTGTGGAACAGCGAACTGCACCTGTCGCGTGGAGAAGAGTGTGGTCACGTTGCTGGCTGCGTGATGATTCAAACTCGGCCTTGTGGCCATCCCGGTGTTCGAAGACGAGCTTGCGCTCCTTTTGCCAGCGGCCCATTGCGAGGTCTCTTCTGAACCGTTTGGCCCTGCCTCCCCAAACGTGACGCCAATGCTGAAGTCAACCTTGCCATCGGCAAACGAATACCTGCAGCTGCCAATCAGAAAGACTCAAATCGAATGCAAATTTATTTTGAGATATCTTATCAAAGTATAAACAGGGTTCATGCACGGCAGTGGCAATGGCAGAAGATGCTATTAGAAACATCACGTTCTGGCCTGTACTTAGAAAGACGGAGGCAGCTCCTACAACTGCATAGCCACGGCAAAGCCGGTAGTGTCTGTCCCTGTGATGATCTGGCGACGTCGCCCCGAGATTCACTGCACACCCATCCGCGGAAAGAAACGCAGTTTCCACGCCCCTGCTTGCCACTGCTTTGTGTGTGGAAGACATGCCAAGCTCGGAACTCGTCGAAGTGCAGGTTGCAGAAGTCACCGCCATGCCTGTACCTGCCCGCGGAAACTTCAGGCGGCTGCGCATTGGATGACCAGCACGTGGCAGCGACATGGGGGCACAGGCTGACGATGCAGCACACCTCGAAGGTACAATGCCACAGGTTTGGGAAGTGACCCCTTCACTGCTAGCCAATCCTTGGCCAAACAAAACAAACTTGGAGGTTCATGGGTACTTATAACCCCAATTAAACAGGGCATTAAGTCCCCCAAGTCCCCTTACTGGCGTGATAAGTACCCATGAACCCTCCAAGAACTCAGAGTGGTTCTTACGTGCCACACATTGCTCACGTGGCCTTTGGCCACCTCTGGGCGGTGAAGCGGCACGCTTCATGCTGGGACAAATGCTGGTAGCCAGGAGTCATCGGCCCCATCAACCCTGCCATATGGGCTGCTGTTCTCGAGCTGCTCCATCGTCCATATGTCGATGTCCTTAGCGTCGCCACTCCTCCGGAGCACCATGTGCTGCTCCACTGCGAGCCACTCGGCCAACGAGGTGCAGGAGTCCTCGGAAACCTCCAGGAGCTCCAGCTTTGGTGCCACGGAACTCTCAGTGAGGAGCCGGGCGAGGTGCGCGAGCCCTCCCACGGCACAGAGGCTCAGATTCCTGAGGAAAGGCGCCTGCCGCACGAATGCCTCCAGCAGCGATGGGGAGATGACGTTGTTCCCAAGCACTGCGCGAGTGATGACAGGTGTGTCAAGCAGGATGGCCTCGAAGTCTTTCTCAGACGCACCTGTGGAAGACAGGTCCAACAGGTCCAGCTCGTCAAAACGAAAGCCTTGGATCCTGCAACTCGTTGATCCCAGGTTCAGGGTTTTCAGGTGCTGCCCTGCACCCTGCACTCCTTGAAGTCCAGGGTTGTCGAAAAGCCACAGGTACTGAAGGCCCGAAACCTGAGACAAGTCCATGAAGCCCACAAGGCCGCAGCAGGGTAGTCGCAGCTTCACTAGGCTGCGTGGAAGCTCCACGCCATCGATGCGGCCGATGAAACAGTGCGACGTGCCCTCCAGCAGCAGCTCTTGAAGTGACCAGCAACTTGAAAGTGCGACCAGAACACCCGTCCCATGGAACACAAAGCTGTCCAAGCTCAATTTCGTGAGCGAGTTGGCGAGGTTTGTGGCCAGGCATATCACGCCAGCATCTGTGATGTACTGCTCGCTGTTGTAAGACCAGAGCTCAAGCCGTGACAAGGCAGGCAGCCGCGCAAGGGTGTAAAGGAGATCATCATCTAGCGGAATATCTTGGAAGGCAACGTCTTCCAGATGCTTCATGTCGCGAAGCGAGGTCAAGAGCTCTGTGCGCGCCGCTCCGATCCAATTGATGTGCCGAGACGAGTGAAGGACTTCAAGGTTCGGACACCTCGTCGACAAATGCACCACCACCCGCTCTGTCAGATGCTCACAGCCCACCCCCCGAAACTCACGCAAGGACGTGGGGGCGTGCCCCCAAGGGGCATCGCTGAACTCGGCCGCCCAACTAACATCCAGCAATCGAAGCTCTAACTGGCTGAAGATTGAGTGCAGCGCGGCATCGGTCAAAAGCGGGCATTCGCGAAGCTGCAGCGCTTGCAGCTTCGACAGGTTGTTCACGTGCGTCAAGGAGTGGCTTGTGATGAGCAGCGTGTTCAGGCATATCTCCACGAGGTTGGGGCAGGCAGGTGCCAATCGGTTCAGATTGACATGTCTGACATTGGCGCCTGAGAGATCCAGCGTGCGCAGCTCTCTGAGAAAGGTGAGCACAAACCCGCAGATGGACCGCGAAGTGGTGGACAGCTGCTGCCACTGTCGGAGATCGACTGTACTCACGCTACGCCAGACCAGCCAGTCATGCAGAAAGATGCTCATGATACTTTCCCCATCTCCACTCAGCCTTCCTTCTTGTCACCTTCATGGCTGTCTTCGTCCCGAAACTCTCCCCCTCCAAAAGGTCTCGAGACTGCGGATATCGCGAGGAATCAAAGGGATGAGGATCACCAAGTTCATTGAGTTCATGCAGCCTCAACCCTATACTTCCCTTAACCCTGGGCCGTGAACCAAGCTGAGACACAAGCTGGTCGAACACCAAAGACCTGCAGGACACCAAAGCGCATCTCTCTATCTCGCAGCACCGAGCTGTGATGCAAAAGATGCCCAGAGCAGACCCTAAGCCCTAAACCCTAAACCCTAAACCCTAACCCTAAACCCTAAACCCTAAACCAGCCAAGCCAAGCCTCTGCAAGGTGCTCCAGAAGCGCGTGCAACGTCGGCGCTTTGGACAACACCTCGTCGGAAACGAGGCAGAGGTGGCCTCGGCCGACCAACCACTCTGCCCAGCCGACAGGGGCCCCCAAAGTTCCGCAGCGGGCCCTAAACCCTAAACCCTTTAAAAAGAAACTCCACTTCCGAGGGGCGCGAGAATGGCAAACCCGAGTCCAACCAGGCCGCCCGGAAGGTCAGCTCCTTCCAAGGTTTAGGGTTTAGGGTTTAGGGTTTAGGGTTTAGGGTTTAGGGTTTAGGGTTTAGGGTTTAGGGTTTAGGGTTTAGGGTTTAGGGTTTAGGGTTTAGGGTTTAGGGTTTAGGGTTTAGGGTTTAGGGTTTAGGGTTTAGCGGTTAGGGTTTTAGGGTTTAGGGTTTAGGGTTTAGGGTTTAGGGTTTTAGGGTTTTTAGGGTTTAGGGTTAGGGTTTAGGGTTTAGGGTTTAGGGTTTAGGGTTTAGGTTTAGGTTTAGGTTTAGGTTTAGGGGTTTAGGGTTTAGGGTTTAGGGTTTAGGGTTTAGGGTTTAGGGTTTAGGGTTTAGGGTTTAGGGTTTAGGGTTTAGGGTTTAGGGGCCCTTTACAAGGGGACCCCTTGTTTGCCCCCTTAGATACCCTACAGAATGCCAAGGGCCCATACTTCGGAACCCTTTGAAGGAGGGTAAGGGACCATATGAAGGGACCACGAAAATACCCTTAGAACTCAACAGGGGCCAAACGCCTAGGGGCCTTCAATCCCTACATGGTCACTTAGCTGAATTATGGTCCTTTCTGGGGGTCCTCATTATGAGGCGGCCCCTCTTACGTACCGTCCAAAAAGGGACCAGGATTGAGAGAAGTAACCCTCTAGACACCCTGGATGGGTTCTGGGTTCCCCAGCCCCAGTTTCCAAGAAAAATGAGTGGAGCTCGCTTCTTGATAAGAAGGTTCGACTTCACAAGCATATTCTGGAAGGAATGGCCCCCGTGGCATTCTGCAGGGCGTATTCACACGGCAAGATGTCATGTGAGCTTCTCCACTCAACTCCCTGAACTAACCCACTCTGGAATTCACAGCTTGTGTTCCAAAGCGACACCGTCACGATTTGAAGACTTCGCTGCTTGTATAACATTGCATGCTGTCAGATATGCAAGCGAGGACACTCTGAGCAATTTTTGAAGGCCCCTGCATTCCGCTGCCTCCGAGGCCTTGCTACCAATGGGCACCGGACGCCTCTGGAAGCGGTTCCTGCAACTTCCTTGGCATAGAGATAAGCAGTATTCTATTGAAGGATGAACTCCTGGCAGTTAACCAGGGCGTCGACGTGGCCCATGAATGCTCCTAACAGTTCACTCAGTCAGCTAAGGAGACTGAGTACACGCTGTGCATTGGGCTGTTGTTGCCCTGCACGTGACGCCGAGAAGCGTTGGATCTGGCTTACATCATACGCTGCGCCTGGATCAGACATCAGCACAGATAGTCGGAAGGTTGAGCAGCAGACCAATCTGCTGCTCCCATCAAAATGTTAAGCAGACAGCGCGACTCGCGTAAAATCCCAGCTTCATTCCCGGATAGCAGCCAGCATGGTGCTGCCGCTTCAGTGCATATCTAGAAGTCAACACCATCTGTAGTCACAAGTTCAAGTCACTGTTCAAGCACATGCTGCCATCACCAGAAGCCAGGAGGATTGGAAGCGTGCTGCAACAGCCGCCATATCCGCTGCCCTACCGAACATCTAAAAACCATGGAACCCTGCACCCCAGGGGATCAGCGTCCCAAAGCGTCCCCACATTGGAGTCACCCCCAAATCCAATAATCTTCTGCCAGTTCTACTCGTGCCCTCAAGTTCTACTTTTCCCAAGGCTCAATGCAGCTAGCACCTGCACAGCAGCATGCTTCCCTAAACTAACTTCACCCAAACCCCAAACTACCCAGACCGAATTGCTCAAGCCTGCATGGCATGCTTGACATACCGGCAGCCCTAGTTTCAATCCGCAAGTTTTTGAGCTACACAGTCCTAGCCAATCACACACCCAACATGCCCGATGCTTGAGACTCTGCGAATTGGCACGGGTCGCCACCAAGAAGACCCAAAGCCAGACCGACGAAGCGTTACTTTGGAGAATTGGGGGGGGCACAAAGTGGCACAAGAGGTCGGCCGGATTTGGAAGCCTCCTTGTCCTAACTGGCGTCCTAACTACCGGGGGCTTGATCAGCTAAAAGCACAATGCTGGAGTTGAGCGCCAACCCACAGTCCCATCGCTTCTTGCCAACCATGGATGCAGGGCTCTTAGAGAAAAAGCCGGCTGGCGCGACACCCCCCTAAAACTGGTGCGACATTTCCGGCATGCAGTGGTATGCACATCGGCAGCGAGCGCGGTAGCGAATTAGCCCTGCCCTGGGACAGCTTGAATGGCTCTGCGTTCAGGCCGAAGTATGGGCAGAGCAGCTTTGCACTTGGCTCCAGCTGCCCATGAATTTGTACTAGCTACTAGGTACTAGAACGACTCAGCACACGGTCATGAAGGGAGAGGAATGTATGTGTTCAGCTTTCAGGTGCTCCGTTTCCCTCTGCAGAGACTCTTCTGTGATCCCATCAGTCGATCCCATCATGGGTGTGCTTGGACACTTGTTGCCCATGAGCCGACAGGCCCCACCCTCCGGGGCGGAAGAAAGGAACAAACGAAGTCAAGCTTCGGATGGATGATCGGCTCGTAGGAGCCTGCCGAGCTCAGGGGCCACAGCTGATTTCACACCTGCCCGATGCAGGCGCCTGAAACGCGCGTTTCACACCACGCTTATAGAGTATTCGAAGTCTGCGTAGCTTTCACCTGCCACGGCGACCACGTGCAGACACCACAGGGAGATGAACAGACTTGCCAAAGCCTCCCGGCACCAAGTCGGCCTAACATCTCAATGAGGGCTAGACTGCACCGGAGAGCGAAGCAGGCACTTCCTGTCTCTTCCTTGATTCCTCAAGAGGCAAGTTGAGAGCCACGCTGCCGGTGCGTATGGTGTTGGTGGAGCCGACCTCAAAAGAGTACCCCAAAAACATCCAAATTACACAACGAAATGGACCCAAGACACCAAATCGAGGCTCCCGCAACACCTCGGTGGCCTTGGTCCGCATTCGAATGGGTGATTAGGGCCAGGGCGCATTCAGAGGGAGAAGCACCGTGAAGTCTTGCTGAAAAGCTCCCTACGTCCTGCAGCAGGAGCTGGCAACGCTCAGAGCTCGCCTGGACACGTCATATTTCCATGTGTTGAATCATTGGGAGGGCGGAGCATCCTGCCGACTGGTAACAGCTGCTCATGCTGGCAGAGAATGGAGGAGAAGGGGCAGTGTCGGCAGCACTCATGCGCCACACGGAGTCCCAGACCAAAACAACAATCAACGGAATCTTCAAACTTCAAACCCCGAAAGCCAACAAGCCCTCAATCCTACGTTGAGGTGGCCTGTGTGCACCAGAGCCCCACGTAGACGGCTCCGGCGGCCAGGGCGGCACACGGATACCTGCTTTGGGGCTGGCTTAGATGCCTACACAGATCAGGGTTTCCGAGTAGCGGGTGTTGGGAACAACTGCATACGTGGCCTGTGAAGTATGTTGGCATCGCCCAGGGACAGCTGCAGCAAAAAAGTGGCCACGCACACCAACTCAGCGAGCGGTCCATCCGACATGATGCTATATCTCGACTGCAGGCAAGCGTCAGTGCCGCGTACTTGCAATGGTGATGCTGTACGCATTTACATGACTAGCTGCCTGTTCCTTTGTTTTTGTTGAACCCAGCAGTTTTTTGTTTGGTGCAGAGTTCGAGAACACAGGGGTCTGTTTGCGAGGGCCGTTCGGGCGAAACGTACATTGAAAGTTTCTTCACGAGGAGACGGTGAACAGACTGCCTCACGGAAAAGTGAAGGGGGGGCAACGTGCGGGGGTGGGGGAGGGGCAGTGGTGTTTTAACAGTACTGTACTCCGACTGTCTGCCACTGGGAAAGGGCGGGTTCGTTAACTTACTCCCTGTAGAGTCTGTCACGGCAGCCTATCCCGGGGCCTGGTAACCTAGAACTAATCTAGCAGCTGAAACTCAAACCCTTCGCGTTCTTCTTCAGTTCCCGGCTGCCGATGGCATTCCATTAGGCTTCGGCCTTCCGTTGGACAAGGCGCACCGAACTCCAATTCTATGGGTTTGCCAGGGGCTCCCTGGGCTTTAGCTGCCTGAGACCGGTGGGGACGGGAGTACAGCTGCATTCTGTCACTGCAGGACAACACAAAGCTTTCGTCCAAGCCCATGCCCAACCCTAAAACCCTAAACCCCAAAACCCTAAACCCTAAACCCTAAACCCCTAAACCCTAAACCCTAAAACCCTAAACCCTAAACCCTAAAACCCTAAACGCCAAAACCCTAAACCCCAAAACCCTAAACCCTAAAAATACTGGAGCAGAGTAAAGGGGCATTCGAGCTTCGATGTGCTTGGAAAGGAACCGGCGAAGGAAAACCTCAATCTCCTGCAAATTCTCATGGTTTCTGTGTACTTTACTATTTCCTTTGACTGTACAAGGACAACATCCGCTCCTTCAAAGCTTAGGGAGTATGTATTCCTTCGAGATTGACGGACCTCCATCTCCTTCCATTCGTTTTACATTCATCAGCAACTGGTTTTCTGGACTGTAAACAAAAGAAGTTATGTTCTCAAGGCCCAGAACCCTGAAACCACTTAAACCCAAGCCCCAGAAGCACATCCGCAATCAGTCTTGCCCCTGCAGCCTCTCGACAGAGAACAAGAAGCTTTCCAGGAACTCCAGTGGTGTGTGTGCAGCCTCAGAAGGCGAGGTTCGAAATGCCCACTCTTCGCTGGTTTTAGTTGCTGAGCCCACGACCACCTCATATTTGAGGGCCTGAAGGACTTGGTAACCCTAAACCCTAAACCCTAAACCCTAAACCCTAAACATGCGATTGAGAACGTCTCATGTCCGGAAGCTGGGCCTTGACGACCTCGAACTCAGCCGACGCGATTTCTTGCTTGGTGAACTTGTCTTTGCCTCCACACGCTGACTTTCTCCCGCATTCATGCACGCGCATGAAAAAGAAAAGATACTCGTCAGCTCTGGCGTTCTCGCTTCTCTTTCGCACGTGGCAACTGCGCCTATCATCTCCGCAATGAAGCGCGGGTGCTCACACAGATGTCCGCCACTGGCCGAATGGCCGATGACCTGAAAGACATTCTGGAGCC